CTACTGCTACTGCTACTGCTAGCTACTGCTACTACTACTACTACTACTACTACTACCACTACTACTACTACTACCCTTTCTGGAAAGTGGGCTGTCATGGGGCCTGGGTTTTTGCATTGCATGTTTTTTGGTTTGTTGACACAAGGCTACGCAACTATGCATGTGTATCTGTATATATAAATATATATGTATATATTAGTTTGATAGGTACATACACATGAATAGACATGCATATGCATTCCCAATGTTAGACATGCATGCACACATGCAGGCACATGCCTGTACATACACAGCTTATGTGTTTGCATGTTCGTGGTAAGCATACTGACTAGTTGTGGGTACACTGTACACAGCACACACACACACACACACCTGGCCACTTCCGAGCGACATGAAACAACACAAAGTATTTCATGCATCGTTCTGCTTGTTACATAAGTTGGACTCCCCAAAATCTCTGGCGAAGTTTTGTCTGCCGTGTTCTGATTTTCTTATGTTTTGAGTTGGCGCGTGTCCGTGAATTTCCACTTGATTCTCCATTTGTAGCATTGCAGTATGACCTACCTATGCGGGGTTTCACAACAGTACACACCATACAGATAATCACAGGACTGTAATTCCTGCAAACTGGGAACATGGACATACATATGGTTTGTGTAGCGCCGTAGCACATATTGTATCAAGGGTGTAGATTGTCTGTATGTACATAAATCAGTGAGTAGTGTGTATGCAGTTCACTTTAGTTTCTGTTGTAATGCGGCATTACGTTTTGGAACTTAGGAAGGGTTTCACAGCTTTACATAGCTACAATTGCAATGGCACTACTGTATATGTAAGCATGGGTGTGTGTACATATACACATACAGACATACAAACATACCTGCATACATACATACATACATACATACATACATACATACATACATACATACATACATACACACATACATGCATACACATTGATACATGCATGCATGCATGCATGCATGCATACATACATACATGCAGTACGTAAATGTCACATAAGCTAACCTACGCAATTCCCCAGCAAACTGCTGTAATGTTGGCATTAGTTATGTCGGATATTGGCAGAATCTAGCTTCTGTTCTAAGATGAACCTTTGTTTGTTGATGGAATATCAAGATAAGGATCCCAGGAATCCTTCTGGTCCAGGCTGCTGTGTGCCTTCCATCCTTACGACTATCGTTGATGTACATCCCGACGGTCTTATCACAGCCTGGACCTTTGAACCATAAGTAGATACAACGCGTCTAAAGCAGCTCACGTGCCCCTGAACAAACCATGCCATATGTTCCTAAACAGGGAAGGTCCGGGAAGGGTGTTAACACATACAAATTGTCCACAAATCATAAACTCATACACTTAGACGCAAAAATCACAGTAGATACCAGCTTTTTCACAACATCAGGGCACGCAAAAAACACAACAACGATTGGGGTTGAGGGTTGGGGATTGGGATGCTACACAAACCAAACGCAAAAGGAGATTTCACAAACGCAGGCCCCACGGTATCCCTTTCTGTACTACTACTACTACTACTACTACTACTACTACTGCTACTACACTACTACTACTACTACTACTACTACTACTACTACTACTACTACAACAACATACTACTACTACTACTACTACTACGACGACGACGACGACGACGACGACTACTACTACTGACTGCTTCTTCTAC